TTTTGTAGTTACAACCTTTGTGGCTTCTCTTAGCACAACACTGTTGCTGATAAGTGGATTGCACTTACGGAAAAAAACTTTTTATAAGGGATTTGATGATTCTTATGTGGTTGACAGTCACTTCAGTAGCACTCACTTATGGCATATAAATATACACCATCATGCCAAAGAAAGATAAAAAACAATTTGGTCAAGTTATTGAAATTGTTGTTACAGTGTGGGAACTTTGTAATGACATTACTTTTACTCGAAAATACAATCCGTTTGCCCTATAAATGGATGATGAGAAAGAAGAAAAATTAAAAATACACATAATATTTTGAAATTATATCTACTTGTGTGTCAATGCAGCATTATATTATTGAGAGTGGAAGTTTTGAAATATATACAAAAAATTTAAAAACCATGATATATAAAAATTCGTATTAAAAATATTTTGTTTTGATCGTTCTTATTTGCTTATTATTTTCTTAATTAACGGACATTTTTAAATCAATGTGCAAATCGTATCTTTAAAATGCACATAATTTGCATGTCTTTAATAAATTTTAAAAAATGCACATGATTTGCATATATACAAATCCTATATGACTGCAGATAAAGTGGGAATCAACAATTTACTTTGAGAATCAACTTGTACTTGTTGTAGCCTAAAAAAAGACATGTTGCATGCACTAATTGTTTTTATATAGTATCTATACTAGAGACCTAAACTGTAATAATCATGGCGGCATTTCGGGCACTGATTAACTCCAATTGACCACCATCCACTGATGTTATCATGGTGATGTACATGCTCGCAAGGGAGAATGCTGAGAGAATCTCTATCTACATAATCCTCAGAACATATGACACTCTCTCCAGCATTGTGGTCAGAAAATACAATCATTATAAAATGTATTAATGATTGCATCTGAGTCAACTGGTTGTTTAAGTTCTATAGGAGCAACCCGAGCTGCTATACGAGCATCTTGTGCCCAGTGGTGGATGTAGAGCGTGTCCAGGGGGTCATCCGACCCCCCTCGGAAATAAAATTACACTATATATATAAGATCAATTTTTTTGTGTACGTGTATATATTTAAAATTGAACCCCCTGAGCATATGTCAAAGGAGTAGCTCAATGGTTTATGGGGTTCAGTATTTCGCCTATATGTGAGCTTTGGGTCACAAGTTTGATTCCAGGCAACAACATTTTTTTTATTTGATCCCCCTTGATAGAATTCCTGCCTCCGCCACTGCTTGTGCCGCTACAAGAACACCCTGACCCAGTACATGAGCATACTGATCTACTACTAGAGCATCCTGCATCTCTATATCGCCAACAACAGAAATATGAGCATCTGATATCCCTTATTTGCTCATTCGGAAATAAATTTCTACATTATTCCTCTTTCAAGACTTACATACCATTATAATTTTTTTGTAGTACGTCGTACCAAATAACCAACGCAGTCTGTTATCAACACTTGGATCGAGTATAGCAAATGATGACGAAAGTCAGCCCGTTACTTCCAACTTTGAGTCGAATATCTTTAGTATGGCTGCAAATTAACAGTTGGAAAAATAACTGAAGTTCCTCACTCTTCCTTTTTGTTGCTGCAGCGCCCTTACACATCATCTATACTTCTATCTATGTATCTATATCTATCTATCTTCTATACTACCTTAAAAGCATGAACTTCCAAACTTCAATGTTGAATTACTATAATATCCCCAAATAAAAATACTCAAATTATTTAATATATTTATTTAATTAATTTTATTATATTAAAAGTAGATAACTTTTCACATTATAGAGTTGTGACTTTTCCGAAGGATTGCGACTTTTTTGAGGGGTTGTGACATTTCCGATGTGTTGCGACTTTTTCGAAGGGTTGTGATTTTTCAAAGGGTTGTGTATTTTCCAAAGGGTTGTGCCTTTTCCGATGAGTTGTGAATTTTTCAAAGGATTGTGACTTTTCTGATGAGGAGTGAATTTTTCGAAAGGTTGTGACTTTTTCTAATAAGGCACTGATTCATACTACTATTTCTTAGCTATAAATAGAGGGTGTTTCCTCTAACTTTTAATCTATGATTTTTAAAGTTTTCTACTCTTCTTCTTCTTAAAAAATCTCAAATGATATATGCGACACTCGATTAAGGTCAAAATTCAATGAAATTTGAGGTACCACATAAGAAAGAGTTGGTGAACAAATTGTAAAAACTCATTCATCAATTCACACTCGTAATTTTCTATTACGATTTTCATCACGTACATACTTCAATATTATTTATATCATTTTAGAACATTTATACCCTTTTAGTTAACCTACATATTTTATTTATTAAAAAACACTTATTTTGCTACAAATCGTCACAACAATTTCAACCTTCATGTTTCTCCGATCATTAATCACAACCATTCACTTCTTATAAATTCTTGGGGATTTCTTTTGTGCGACAATTTGAGATTATTAAAAATTTTCATAAATGATTAATCCTCAATCCGTTGATATGGTTCGCCGAAATGAAAATTTAGGTATTTGCTTTCTATTAAATAAGAAAAAAAAGAACCGAGAAATGTGGGAAAATACTACTAAAGAAATGTCACTTTCTCCCGATATTTTAACTTTGAATGAATTTGGAAATGTTTCCATGATATCTGGTCATTTTGATCTCAAAAAGCAAGTAATTCTATGACAATCTGTACTAATCATTTAAAAGTACTTTTTCTATGTTCTTTCAATTATAATCATTTACTAGAGTTTAATTTAGTAATATTAATTTAATTTTACAACATCGTATACTATATGATACGATACACACGTGCAACACACGTGTTGTGAAACTAGTATTATACTTAAAAGTGGGAAGCCACAAAAGTAAAAGTTGAAATACTATTTTTCCCCTATCTTAATTTAAAATGTTATAAAATATCTAAGCAATTATAATAATTATAGCATATTATATTATATTAAATACTAAAAATGAAAATGTGTTTTATAAGGCATTTTAAGAATGTCCCTCCATTCTCCAACATAACTTTTGAGCTTTCTACAGAATTCTAGGCAAACCTTATGTCTCTCCATTCTCCAACATAACTCTTGAGCTTTCTACATAATTCTAGGCAAATTTTTGGCTTATAAATATCATGTGCATGAGGTAAAATTATTATTGGCAAATACATAAGCTAATTTTCCTTTCAAAGCTCATAAGAAAAAAGAATCTGATTTCATCAATTACAGAAAATGCTTAAGCATGGAGATCGTTGATTAAGGTAGAAGGTTGTAGTGGAGTGTTATCTTGCTTTCCGAAGGGTTTAGGCTTAGTGGTGTCTGTCGTAGTAGTACTTTTATTCTTGTACTGTCTTGCTTTTGCTTTCTACCACCAATTATTTTTATGATGTTTCGATTATTGCACTTTTTTTTGTTACTGTTTTCGTAATAGTTGTTATATTATATTATATTATATTCTCTTGGCTGTCATTTTTCTTTTTCATATTTACTTTGATTTGCTATACTCGACTCAAGTTGAGGGTCTTTTGAATTGATGTAAGGTCTTTGCACACCCTACACTCTCTAGACGAATTTTACGAGATATGTTATTATTATAAAAGAAATAGCTATAGATCAGATAACAAATTTAAGTGTTTGGACTGAATTGATAAATGTAACGTTTGGGCTGAATTGATAAATGTACATCTATTTTGCTTTGTTAGCAAGTTTTGTCGAGAAATATGTTTATTCATCCTGTTTGATCAGTTATAGATAATTTTTAAAATTTCTTTTGTCTTTAAATTTCAATTCTCTTAGTTAATTTAATATTTAGAGTTAGAGGTATTTACATGCATTTTACAGTAATCTAGAGTATGAAATTCAATCGGCATATTTCTATATACCATTATGGGTTATCTAATATTGATTTTCTTCACGTATTTATTGCTAGATGATAACTGTGTTTGTCCACTTTTTCAAATTTATTTCTATTCAGCAAATAAATAACTAAAGTAATGAATTACAGTAAGGGAAAAATGCATAAATACCCCCAACCTATGCCCGAAATTCCAGAGACACACTTATACTATACTAAGGTCTTATTACCCCCCGAACCTATTTTATAAATAATTTTCTACCCCTTTTCAGCCTACGTGGCACTATCAACTAGATAGCTTGAAAAAATGGTCAACACGCGTTGAGCCCCAAAAGATAGTGCCATGTATAGGTCGAAAAGGTGTAGAAAATTATTTATAAAATAAGTTTAGGGGGGAGGTAATAGGACTTTAGTATAATATAAGTGTGTTTCTGGGATTTCGGGCGTAGGTTGGGGGTACATATGCATTTTCCCTTACAGTAAACACAATACAAGTTCAAATTTTAAACTCACAAATTTTAAATGGTGTCTCCGTATCATAACAACAAATATTTTCTCAAGTGACATATATTTTAAAATACATTTTTGATTTATTATTTTATTACACAAATTAAGCTGAAAATAAATATGCAAAACATGTTCCATATATATATATATAACGGTGTGTGAAGCAATGAATATGATGTCTTGCACTGCTGGTAAATTTTGTCTCTACTTTTATCAGAAATAAGTATGTAATAAGTATTATCTAATTCTGGAGAAAATATGATGCATACTTCGTTATACATAATTTGCAAATTATAGAATTTGTCAGTGCAATTACTTCCCTCTCATGTTCTGTGCCTTTTGTTTTTCCTCTTTAAACTTGTAGCTTTCAAATTTCGAATATGGATAACTTATTGATTCTATATTTATTTTCTATCTATAAATTATATGAATAAAGTCTTACGAATTGATAGGTCGATACATATTATCGTAAGTTTGTATTGATATTTGTCTCAAATTAGTCATTTATGACTTTATTAGAAGTGCGTTAACTACTAAACAAAGTTTAAAAATTATCGATAATAGCTTCAACGAAATTGATTTACTGATGATAACTTCAAAGGAATTGATTTTAAACATTACAATGTGCCCCTCATTTGGTGTTTCTTGACGCACATTAAAAAAATATTATCACTTCACACGATTTACATAAAAAAATTATTGTTCTAACGAATCTATAAAAATTCACATCCAAATACAACAAAATGCGTTTCTAAGTTCCTACGATGTAAGATCCTGGACAAACGCTCTTACGCTAACCAGCTAAAAACGAAACAAGTCCATTCAGCTTATTGTAGTGAAATAATAAAAAAACTGCTAGACATACATTTTGGCCAATTACTCTGCCTTCTTGTCTGCGTGTTTTGTTCTGTTCATAGCTTGTGAGTGCTTATCTTCAGCCAACTTCGAATTAACCTCACTCCTCTCCCTGAAGTACCTCTCGAAAGCCCGTGGAAGAAATTGCGGAATCAAGAAACCAAACAGATTGATCGAAAAATACGCCAGATTAGCCACTGCCAGTCCCTTCCCAAACCAGTACCATGTCACATCCTGAAAACAATAATAATAATAATAATTAAAAAAAAAAAAAAGTACTTTAGTTACAAATATTTCATGGAATTAGTTTCTAAAAGATTTGATACAATCAATTAATTTTTAAACCAAAAACACATCCGCGAACAAATCCGTTAATTTGATACCTATATGCAAGGCATTATAGATGAAGTACCTTGAGTTGTGCATTTGGGGGCAAAGTCTTGTTGATCCACACATCTTGTATCCAATCAATCAAGACAAAGATCCTTCTAACTGTATAAAGCAGGGGAACCAGTGCTCTAATCGGCGGAGAAAAGAGGGACAATCCACTTATAATATTCTCAGTTAGAATTTGAAAAGAAAGCAAGAACAAATGAGGAGTGGCAGAGCGAACCGCATGTTGATCACCCCTAGCAAATCCACCCAAAACATATGCCAATGGCAAGAACAATCCAACACTAGTACCAGCAACCATATAAAGACGGAAAAACCGACTGCCCTGAAATAATATTTCGTGGGAACTAGAAGTAGTTGTGCCAAGTGATGGAAACGCAAATCGCGAAAGAAGCAAAAGATATGCGGATGCAAGTGCTGGGAAAATTAGATCAAGTAATGGTACAAGACCACTAGCGGAGAAAACCATAATGAAAGCTACTAATTGTAGCTCAATTACTCGAAGTGATCCCATTACACCCACACCACCTTGTTGTCGCTCAGGCTTTCTTGCTGAAGATGTCGTCTCATCTGGACCCGTAGCTAAGGTTACCCCTGACATTTTAATTGCCTTCAGATTATAAGTTTCCTAATTTTTTTTACCTGTAATCCAAAACATAAAAATCTTTTAATCTTTATGTGATTAAAAAAAATTACTATGTATAGTTGATTGCAAGTAGCTTTAATCTATTAGCTATTTACTTATAAACATGCATTGATGGGATCCAAAAATAAACGGCAAGTAATTTGTACTGATGGTGGGCTAAGATTATTTTTTCCTCTGAAGTTGTTTTTTTAGGGGCAACAAATATGCACGTTACCAAAGAGGGCTAAAGCTTTCACTAACATTAGTTAATAGTTATCGGATGCTATAGGTTTGAAGAACATTTAATAAGGAGTGTTAATGTCTTTATCAACATTAATTAATTATTATCAGATTCAATGTCGCTATATACTTTAAAATTATTTAAAAAGACTGCTAATTGTGCAGTAACTAATTGCTGCTAAAGATGAGTTTTTGATGTAGTTCATGTTATTAAACAAAATTGCATGTCTTAACACCTGTGCTTGGTGTAGGGAATTGAATCTGAAACCAGAGTGAATTGTGTCATCAAACAATAGCAAATTCCATTATTTTGCATCAGCAAATCATTCAAAACTATCTTTTATATGAGAAAAAAGATGGATATTGTTACTTTCTTTTCTGCAATTAATTATGATAATGATATAGATTCTACTTAGTGATTCAATTAAAGTATACGAAAACCATCCAACTGACACATGTTGAAAATTGTAAAAGCAACAAATATTCCATTTCTAACCAAAAGAAGAAAAAAAACATAGCAATAATTAATTAAGTAGAGAAAAAAGAATCATTAAGAGTAAAGCGTTGTGGATTTGAATAAAACCAAGTTTGAATGCTTTGAGAAATAGAGGAAAATTGAACTCACAGAAGCAGAAGAGGGGCCAGCAATTGCAGACTGTGTTTTTTTTTACCTTACAAGAGAGACAAGGAGATTGATGAATTTTGTTTTGTGAGATTTTCTCATATCCTAGCAGTTGACACGTGTAATAGTTTCTACGTGTGTAAGGGTGTACGTGGAAGTCTCTAAAAAAAAGCTTAGTACCGTACATCACTACTCACTAGCATGCACATCCTTTTATTTTTTAGAACCAAAAGGAAGAAAGCATACGAATTTTTTTTTATTACAATTACATAACAAGATTTTATTTTAAATAGCAAAAATTTAAGGAAACTATTCATGTATCCTGTGATTTAAATAGCAAAAAATATTTTTTGTTTTTAATTTTCTTTTAAAAAAGAATGATCTATTTTAACTAAATGTTATAATTTTAAATTAAAATTATATTAAATGTATCAAAACAGAGGCGTATTCAGAATTTCGGTAAGATGGGTGCACGATTACGAAAAAATGCTTCTTAAATATAAATTTTGATCAGTTTTGATTTTTAGGTACTTAATATGAACCATTTAAATTTTAAAAATTATAGGTCCAAAATATATAATACTACTACTTTTAAATTTTAATATACACATTTGATTTAATTATATAAAAAAATTATAGTGCTAAATTTTTTAAAGAATTTTCAAAGTAACACACTGGAAATTTTTGAAAGATTTAAGAAAAATTAGTTGAAACGCCAAAAGTGTAACCGATAACCACTTGGAGAAGTGTTACTCAAAAACAGAAGATAGATATAAGATTTAAATTTCTATCCTCACTCAGAGAGGTGCACCTATCATCATCATATTATATTATATGATACTTTGAACGTGGGTTCACATATCTATATTTAAATATTTTTTTAACATATAACACTACTATATATGATCTAGAGAGGGGAGCATGGGTTCACGTGAACCCACGACACCCCCTCTAGATACGCCCCTGTATCAAAATATTCTTAAATCTTAAACATGTGTGATACGCATATAGAAAGCTGAGTTTAAAGTATAACTAGAAAAGAAAATCATTTTTTTGAAACACACCAAGAAAAGTATGTCCTTTTTGTTAAACGAAGTAGTTATTTTACATAACGTAATCTTTACCATTTGAAAAGGACATCTTTCTTTGGTTTTACATCGATTAATTTTTAGTGTTTCTATTGATATTGGATATTAATATTTTTGGTTATCTCTGTCCCTTAAACTCCTTCACAAGTTCACAACTATGAGATAGATTGAACACTTGACTTTCAAATGCAACACCATGAAATGATACACCTTAAATATCAAGTACTCTCTCAATCGTATATACATGATACTTCTCGAAAATACATTGAAAGTTCGTGACTCATAGGAGACACCTGAGGTCCATACACCGACATGAACGATCTACACATACTCAATCTCATGTCAATGTATATGTATAATATAATATCAATAAAAGGGAATAATGATGCACCTCAATCAATCAATTATCGATATGACATATAATCACCTCAACTACCATAAATATGTGGGTTCAATAAGAAACACAACTACACAAAAGAAACTAAGTCATTAATATATCAGCTAATGCTCTTATGCTTTGACATTCTTTGATTACAATCCATCATTCTATAATAATAAATTTATATTTATAACACCGGTACTCGTACCAATGCTCATCACACCAATGGTACGAGACCCTCATCTTTCTCCCTCACCCATTGTCTATTCTATTTTTAATCTTTTATTAGAAAAACTTTATTCAACAAAGTCTGAAAGTTTTAACACACCTCGAATGCTAAATATGTGTCATGAATCTTCAAGATTTTTCCTTTCCCTTTTGTAAAGTTTCAAAACATTCCCAATATATCAAATATACAATGTTCATAAGCAAATGAGTCCATAAACACTCATATTACTATATGTCTAGCCTAGACCCAAAACTCACCCAAATCTATAATTAAATTCATAAATCTCATTGTCAACTAATATGCAAAGTCTCATAATATTAAACTATAAGCCTAAGGTTAAATCTCAATTCCTCTAAACATTACAAATTTGTTACTATTCATATAATACAATATACCTAACATTTACTTAACTATATAAATATACCAAATCATAAATCATAATGTGACAATAATAAGAAAAGTAAGTCAAATTTCGAACTATTCACTGAAAGACCACGATCTCCAAACATCAAATCCCTACGCCCTATATCACTGAATATCCATTATAATTAGTCATCATATAAAATTAACCATTAAACAAAATAGTCACACCATATCCAGGGACCCATGTCGAATCAACAACCAATTTCAATTCAATTACACTTTCTGTTCAACCCAACCAATTGATGACAACTATTTTTTTTCAAACTTCCACCACTACATATACTACTAATAATATCATCCAACCCAATATAAAACTTACCCTAAAAGGGGTTTATTACATTAAAGTGAGCTTTTCTCTCTCTTTCGATAGAAGCCGCACGTTCCCCTTTTTTTTTTCTTCGGTTGTGACCCATATATTTAACTCCACATAGTTTAATTCACTTTTATTCATGACTAAGTGGCATAGGGTGTTAAATAAATTATTAACTTAGCCCACTAATCATCAATTAAATTAATTCTCTAAAATTATCTGTCAATTAAACAATCATAGTTACCAAATAGTTCAAATATTTTCATTTAAAGAGTCCTTTATGAATAAAGAAATCCTAGTGTTGAAAACGACCTAAATGGTCATTACATTAGGCGTAGTCGAACTAAAGGGTCGTTACATTAGGTGTAGTCGAAGTAATTTGCCTGTTAATGGAAGTAGGTGATGTTTTATTTCAAGTGACAAGCTCAATGCTACAACTCTTTCCCTGGATGTCCTGACATATTGTTGGAATATATACTATTAACCATGTGTTTAGATATAGTATTTATTATAGAATAATTATTTATTCATTTTTAATAGATCATATAGTCGTTTATGGTGTCTGTTTACTTATATAGTAGATGATTTAATGTGTAGAGTTTAAGCTTATAATACACAGAGGATTAAATCATCGGTTCTTATAAGTATAATTTTTTTTGTTCACAATCTAAGATGAGAATTGGACATGCCATTGGTATGATTGTAGCACAAGATTATATGTAATTTATCTTGATTATGGGAATGGTATAGTTCCAACTTCTTGTACTAGTGCATTTTGTATGTATTGAACGGGACCGAGTAGAGATAGTTGCTTTAGACTGACTGACAAAAACATATTCTCTAAACTATTAAATGTACTTATATTCTTAATCCTGATATAACTATTATGATCCGTATATGTTAATTATCGTTTTGATATATTAAAAGGTGAGATTCTAAGATGGGTCAATATACCTGGTAGATTGGATGATGATAATATATATTGGTGAAATAATAAGTTAGTTGACGGAATCCATGTCTCGATATAGAGATTGATGATATGCCTTTTTGAGAAGCTTAAAAGTTTTCATTGTGTCAAACCTTGCAAGTGGATTTATGAATTCGGCACATGAAATATGTTAAGCAGTGCTCTAAAGGAAATTGATCATTGAATTAAGTTCGTAAGTAATTTAATTTATTGATTAGTATCGGTAATCTTAACATGGGGAATTACATATGTGTTTAATGGGGAATTTTGAAATATAAATAGAGGAGTGCAATTATGAATTTCTAGTGGAATGATTTGTAATTTATTATGGTAAGAATAATTCAAATTAATTATTTGGAATTATTTCCATAATAGGAAGCCTCAGTAATTAATTTTGTGGTCCCTACCGTGCCCATATTTAACTAGAACTCACAGTCTATTCTAAAGGGAAAAGGGAGAAGTATGTGTCTTTCTCTATTCTAAGGAAAGGGAGAAGTATGTGTCTTTCACTATTCTAAGGCAAAGGGGAAGTATATCACTTTTTCTATTCTAAAGAAAGGGAGAAGGACATGACTTATTCTATTCTAAGGAAAGGGAGATGTACATGTCTTTTTCTATTGTAAGGAAAGACATGGTATTCCTTCTCCTCCCTGGACTAGGAAGAAATCTCTATAAATAAGGATTCTTCTAACACTTGAAAACATGAAGTTTTCTATAAAATACTTGTCCACCCAAGTATTGAGAGAATTCGGAAGTAAACTTGGGATCACTGTAGAAGACCGAAGAACTGTGGTCCAGTTTGTGAATTCGCTTAGAGGTTCTAGCTTGTCGACTAGCTTGTGGATTCACTTGAAGGTATCTGCTCACGTTTCAAGAGGTAATTCTTGAATTAAATTTCAGAAAATTTTATATCCTCTAACATGATTGTACTTGTTATAGCATAAATCATGTGTTGTCTATTATTCATGTAAGTTGTATGATTCTGGTATACTTCCACTGTGCATATAATTTTCCAACAATATCCTGTCCACGCCAAGATTAATTTCGAGAGTTCCATTTACCCGAATTTGATTCCAAAAAGCCCTATGGACTCCTTAATGTCATGACTACAATAAAATATCAACCAAACTTCAACATCAAATCCCAACCATTTTCGGATGCCCTAGACCTCACCTAGCCCAGATTCCATCTAGGGCTTGCCTAGCCAAAAAAAATTGAAGTCACTATTCGAAAAGTTTTCTCACCTAAATTCTTTACTGTTGTCTTACTCATAAAAATCAGGTCAGATTGTTATAGTTTTAGTACTCATACTACATTTATGCATATTTTTTTGATGCATCGTCTAATAAGTTTCATCCGTACTGATTCTATGCTCGTTTGAGGCCCTTTTAATGATATGATTGTGATAAGATCTTGGTATTCAAAGACTTACTCTTTCCTTCTATTATTGATTGTCTATATTTTGTATTCGTTCAGACAGTTATGTATTGTATAGCCTTACTCTCATACTTACAATAGCTCTTGTACTGGTGACACCAGTTCTAAGTTGGAATCTTGTGTATATTTTTATTTTCCTTGTTCTGTTAGCTTAAGAACATTGAGTTTGGTCTAGAATGATCTTTGGTCTGCTTCCTGAGGGTTCTAAACTC